GGCGCTGCTTGCCTGTAGTTCAAACCTGGGCACAGTGCTCAGGTGACAATCAGAGCAGTAAAAATGTCATCAGCAAGTCATCAACAGAGCTCATTGGTGAAGTATTTTTTAAAATGTACCAAGTGTATTTTTAAACTTAACAGTTGTAAGTTGATTCATTGTGAAGCTGAGAATTCAGCCAACTTTAACCAAGGTGATTCACTTAAGTAGAAATTATTTTAAAACATCAGTCCCTCAACTTAAGATAGAAGTTGATATGAATGTAGATTACATGATAACTTACAATTTTGTGCTGCTATGAGGAAATGTGTTTGTGAGTCTGATCATAAGCTTTAATGTTTGAGTTGAAATGAATGTTATCTTTACGTTTAATTTATTCATATTTAATTGGCAGCAGATGAACTTTCATTTTTAAGTTTGACTGGCTTGAAATATTTCAGTGTAGACAGACAGACCGTATGAGGCTCATGTTTGGACACAACAACAACAAAAAAGAAATAACGCAACAGTTCACATCAGCTTTTAATGAAATTATGTTCAACCAACAAAATAAATTAAGTTAGTGGAATCAGCTTTTGCTCTAAATCAAAGCAGTTTTATATGACTGTCTGGAATTGAGCTCAATACATCAACTTGAATTTAGGTTTAAATGATTAATGCAGAAACTTGAGTTTAAATTACACACAAAATTAAGTTGATGCAACATTATTGTGTCAACTTAACCCATCAAACTAATGTTTACAGTTTTAATGATTGTTATTATTATTGTTATTTATCTTGCAACCATTTTGAGATCATTCACCTCAGGAACTTGTAAGTCAACTGCACTTTGGTTGATGATCTTATGAGTTATAAAAGTGTGAAACTAGCCAAGTTAAATTAGTTGAACCTCAGAAAACAAGTTAAGTAAACTCAAAATATTAGGTTCAGTCAACTTCACAGACAGACTGGCTTTTTTCTGTTTCATCTTTTAAATTTAAAGAGTTTCTTCTAAATTCAACAATGCAATGAAAAGTTAAATCCTGAGCTGCTGAAGCCATTAAAAAAAACAAAAAACAGATTCAGTACAAAGACAAATGTGCTAAATAAATGAAAAGTTCAAACAAACAAGTTCAGAAAAACTAATATTGTAATAAAAACATGATTGCGACTCTTGGCAAACTGTTTTATTCAGTCGTGGCTGCAGGATTTCTGTTGGTGCATTTTATTACCTGGAAACTTTACACAGCAACTCCTCGTTATCATGCAGTAACACAGCCACACACTTATATTATCAGTGTGGCATTTCTTCCATGTCCAGAATATTGCAGCTTGATCCAGCAGATTCATTACTATCTGTCCTGTTTTGATCCAGAGAAGCTCTAGAGTTCGCCGCCTGCTCCAGAGTTTGGTGAACAGGGCTGGATCCTACCGGCTGTCTGATGGAGCCCTGGCTGCAAGTTGAAGTACGGCCTCTAGAGGGCGACAGAGAGCTGAAGGCGGTGTGATACTGAGGCTGACCTGTCAGGGTGACGGAGGAGTGGATGGGAGTCTGGGAGCGATGATATGTTTGGTCGGAGCTGGTTTGAACGCTTAAGGATGGGAGGGTAGAATAGACGGTGGAGCATAGGGGGTGGGAGCTGCTTACGGTGCGGACAGGTGAGTTGTAGATCACCTGAGAGGCCTGGCAGACCGCCTGGAAGCTGCTGAAGGCCGAGCTGATGCCCAGCAGCGACGGACCTCCCTGGGGAATGTAAGGGGAGCTGGGGGTCGTCTGAAAGGGACCACGGGGGTTCTGGAGTCGGAAAGCTGAGGTTCCGTCCCTGTCCGAGCAGCACATGTGCAAGCAGGACGACATGGGGCTGGTCGAGTGCAGCAGCGAGGAGCTTCTGCAGCCCCACGCGCTTCTAGCAGGGTGGCTGATGGCGTCGTGGTGGAGGTGCAGCCCGGGGGAGATGTTTAAAGGGACGTGAGGCTGCCAGCTGCTGGAGGTGGTGACGCTGGGGTTGGGGGCCATCGGCAGGCCGTAAGAATAAGAGGAAACCGGAGAGGAGTAGTGGAGCATGGCCATGTGAGGCTGCAGGAAGTGTATGATGTCGTGCAGCTCCTTGGCCAGGTTGGACACTTCCTGGTTCAGGTTGTTCACCTGGGGAGAAAAAAGCAAAGTCAACTGTGGAATGTGGACTATATGGATGTCAGTCATATGAAGCCAAAGTGCACATCCAAAAGGTCTGGTTGAGTCTAGTCAAACGTAACAATGTCAGTCTTATTTTCTATGAAATTAAGAAAGTTTGAGTTCATCCAGGTTTCAGTTTCTTTAAAGTAGTTCAGAAAGAGCTTCAATGAGTCTTTACTTTTTTTATATGGTTTATCATTTGCAAAACAATCAAAAGGAATCTGGTGTTTCTTTGAAACAGATTCTGAGAGCAGCATTTATAATGAAAACACCATGGGGCCCAATATGGAGCCTTGAGGGACGCCACAAGTCAAAGCTGAAGAATAATCACCCAAGAAAGTTTCTATTTGACAGACTTGAACCATTTGAGGACAGTGGTGAAAAGAGAATAAAAATATGCATTTCCTTGAATAAAACATATCGCATCAATAAAGAAATCATTTGAAGATTGAATATATCAATATTTTGTATATCCAGTTAATTGTTATGATGAGTTCATCCGATGCTGGACCATACCTCTTTGTTCAGTTTGCTGATGTTCTGTCTCACTTCTTCTGTCTCCAGAAGCAGGTTGGTGTTAACCTGCAACCGATCTGAAAGACGATGGCAAAGACAAATACAATTAATCTATGATGTATGGAATCAAATCTAATCTAAAATAAGTCAGTCGTGTTAAAATCGGACTTTTTCCTGTTTTTACTCAACCTTGCACAGTTAATATTTAACCCTCTGAACCACAAAGCCCACTGACGGGTTTGAAAGGCATGATATCTTTAAATAATTTTGAAAAATGACAGCATATATTTGAGTACCAAACTTTAAACACCATGTAAACCAACATGTAATTTTTGCATCTTTTAGTGTCTTTTATGTCATCTTTCCCGTCATTTTTTGGATCTTCTTGTGCCATTTCTGATTTCTCTGTCCCTCTTCATGGCTGTTCTGCTTCTATAGAGGTGCAGGACTTTATATTGCAGTAAAAAAACATGAGCCCAGACGTGAGGAAAAATGTGACAGGAGCAAGACTCGCCCAGGAAACAGTTTGGAGTTCAGAGGGTTCAGCGAATGTTAGTTTATTTTTTTCTTCATTGTCCAGCTTGAGACTTTACCTGTAGCATTAGTTTTCGTCTCGCTCTGCTCTACATTAAATTGAAACGTGTCACTGTTGTCTTCAATTCCATCGACGACCCTGGAAGTTAGACAAAAGAGTGTCACACAGTTTTCAAATAAATGCAAACAGACTACGTTTGGATGCAGCAGGTTGAATGGGTCACCTGGGGCTCAGGTTCAGAGGACTAACACAAGGTAAGGATGGCATGAGCAGCTTGGCGGGCCGATGGTCGGTGGGTAAAGGAGACGGAGAGAGCTCGTCGCCGATGAAAGGCTGAGGCGACGGGCTGCGACCTCGGCCTCCCTGAACAGGTGATCGACACATATGCAGGGCGCTGATGTGCCGGAGCTCCTCCCCCAACAAGGTGCTGAGGCGAGGCTGGTGGACGGGGCTGCTCATCCCCTGCAGCAGAGGAACCCTCCTCTGCTGGGAGCTTTTCAGGTCTTCATCATGTTCTGCGTTGTTGGCCTCGATGATGAAGGGCAGTTTGTGGTCTGGAACTTGACCCTGAGGAGAAGGGAGTTGGAAAAACTTTCCTGAAGCTGGTTGTGAGATTTTCTGTATGTGCATTTGTATCTTTTGGGGCAGAATATACACATTATTACACTATTTCATTAGAGATGAAGCATACAGTGCATGTGAAAAGTATTTACTTGGAAGAAAGAATAAAACAATTTTTTTTTTTTTTTACTTTTCTATGTCAAAGTGAAAACAGATTTCTATTAATTAAAAATACAAACTATTTGCATCAGTATTCATCCCCTTCAAGTCAATATTTAATCGATGCCCCTTTTGGCTGCAGTAAAAATTATTAGTATTGTGTTATCATAGCATTGATCCTGTGTTGGTCTCAATCAGCCTGAACATCTGGACGCTACAGTTTTGATGATGATGCTGCCACCACCATGCTTCACAGAGCAGAGGGTGTATTTATGATGATGTGCAGTGTTTAGTGTCCGCCAAACATCGCATCTAGTCTGATGGACAAAAAACTAAATTTGGTCTCTTCACACCAAAGAATTTTCTTCCAGTTGACTTCAGAGTCTCCCACATGTCTTCTGGTGAACTGTAGCCCAGATTAAATTAGCTTTATTCAACAGTGTTTTTCTCTTTTTCACTCTCCCATAAAGCTTTGACTGGTGAAGAACAGCTGTATGAACAGTTTCTCCCATCTCAGATACTGAAGCTTGTAACGCCTTCAGAGAAGTCATAGGTGTCTTGGTGGACTCCCTCACTAGTGTCTTTCTGATGGATTTAACTGGACTCCAAGAGAAATGCAGCGACTTGGAAATGTTCTTGTATCAATCCCCTGACTCATGCTTTTCAGTAACCTTTTCACTGAGTTGCTTAAAGTGTTCTTTTGTCTTTCTGGTTTTATTCAGGAGTACCGATTCACCACTGACTGGATCTTCCAGATACAGGTGTCTATATTACTGAGACACATTCACAACACTCAGAAGATCTTTATTTCACTAACTGTTGACCAACTGGCTGCACCTTTGTTGACATAGGTAAGTCACACAGGTACGTCATGCACACGATGAATACTTACACAATCACTTAGTTTATATTTTTAGTTAATGGGCATTATTTTGTAGAAATCTGTTTTCACTTTCTTTATCTCAGCTGCATGTGAATTGTGGCAGTTAATGTGTTATTTACCACATTTTCCCCCACAGTTCAGTCAGTAAAGCAGACCAATACCTGACTGAGGTAATTATCTTAGTGAGTTCACATACCTGAGACAGCCTTGGAGCCCACGGAAACCTGGTTACTCCCTGCAAGTATGGAAGTCAAAGTTACCAAGGGATTACATTCATGTTCTATATCTGGTGGTATGTATAGTGTCTAGTATAGATATGTTTCTGTTAACGAGCAGGGACAACTATGCTAAACTCCTGTTTCCACTGAAGGAAAGTCTTACGTCGGCCTCGCTGCCCTCCCTCAGGTTGTAGGTGAGGTTGTGGTGGATATCAGAGCTGAACCGGCTGCCGTACTCCGGGTAAAGGTGCAGAACCTCCCTCAGAGCCCGGACGCTGATGTGCTGCAGGTCACAGTATGTCAGCGCCTTCACGTCGGCGTTGGTCTTGATCACGTGGTTGTGTTCTGGGAGGTCTGCCCCAATCAGGTCACCTTTACCTGTACCAAATATTATGCAAACACGAGGAGTCAGAGTGGCTAAAAGACGCAGGGATGAGCATGAAACAGATGCTCCTCACTGACCCAGAATGGCTAGAACCATGCCGTCCTTCAGAACCTCCAGGGAGCCCGAGCAGACGAAGTAGTTGGCCTGCAGGGCGTCACCGTGGCGGATCAGATATTCGCCCGGAGCGCAGAAGGAGGTCTTGATGTGCAGCGACAGCGAGCGCAGACAACCCCTGCTGGCTCGCTCGAACACCGGCAGCTGCAGGATGTCTTTGTTCAGGTGCATGGCGATGTCGGCTCGCAGCTCGTCTGGGAAGTCATGCAGCAGCTAAGACAGAGAGGATGAGGAAGGAAAAAGAACTTCAGCAACATTTGGTAGTCGAATACATATGTACACTGTAAAAATGTGTTTTTTTTACCGACATATTTTAAACATTTCACTGATATTTTACAGATTTAAATTATTTTTTACTCAATTAGATAATAAATAGTTTAAGAAAAAAGTTATATATATACTATATATATATATTAAGGGTGTCTTTAAATTTTTTTAAAATAAAATGTCAATATCTTACAGGTATTTCCTGTCATTTGAAAAAAAAGCATGGCTAAGAAGGATTGAAAGATAAAAAAAATTCAAAAGGTAAACTATTATTTTACAGCTTTTTTGTTGTTGTTAAATTACAGAAACACAAAAACACTAATTTATATGTTAACCATTAGAAATAAAACAGGCCAAAGTTGTAAATAATGTGCATAAAATAATAAATTGTATTTTAGCATGTCGTCATTTGCTCTGTTACAACCATTGACTGTGAAACTCCAATGCTTCTGATGCTCAGACTGACTTTAAAGGGTGACGCACTCACATGATGTGTCAGCCGCTCAGTAAAAACAGACTCAGTGTGCTAAAACCAGCATGTTCTCCCAAACCGGTGCCGTCAACGCTGAATTAATTATCTCTAGATGGCGATGGTGAGAGTGTTAATGAGTATCCTCTCTATTTCAGCTCCAACCCTTTTAATTACAGGGAACTTCTCCTAGATAGGCTCTGGCATTGTTTCTGAAATTCTATTTGCAACAAAGTGCCGTCTACTTAAGGAAATGGAATAAGACTCCAGAGAATCAGAGGTGCCCCACATTTTAAGAACGACATTTCCGAATTGAGATTCAAACGCCCACACAGAATGTACTTTTTCTTTTTCCTGAGGACATTATTGCAGCCCACGTAGTCAACAGGTCATATAGTGGTTGGGTACTTATTAGAAAGTGACAAGTTTTGCTGGAAAAAAAACAAAAAACATCTTGATTGTGGATATACAGTAGAACAGAAGTGAGAACACTCCTGTACAATCTCACTGTCAGATGTCAGATGATTCAAAACTGCGTCATTTCTTACCTAAGCTGAGTATTTCCTCATATGGAAAATCAAAAGCAACCACTGTAGAGAGACCTTATTGAAAATACAGGCTCCAAAGTAGGAACTCAACCAATGTGAATACACCTGTGAAACTATGCTGAGATATAGAACCACTAGTCAGAGCTGCAGTGGTTGTCCTCATCAAATGACGTCACAGACAGGGGACTACTTTCACAATCCAACTCTAAAAAACTGATGTGCAAAGGTTTCATATTCATCACAGGAGTCATCAATGGAAATCAGAGTTTCTGTGACAGTTCAAAAATAACATCAACTACCATGGACAGCATCCAAGAAAAAAAAAGTCTTAATGGGATTGCGGTTCTGCGCAAAACTGCAATATGAAGCTTTGTTAAAGGACACAAAAAGAAGCCTGATGAATGTTGGGAGCACATTATTTGGTCAGATGAGACCAATATACATCAGTTTGGCTCAGATGGAGTCCAGCATGTTTGGTGTGAACCTGACCAGGACTACCACAGTGAATGCATAGTCCTGATGGTGAAGCACGGAGGTGGTAGTATCATGATATGGGGCTGCATGAGGTGACATCTCTAGATGAACCATAAATACTGCTGACAAGAGGATTCCCAGTGTGCAGGAGCTTGAAGAAGAGAAATATTCCAGCATGAGATCCATCCAAAGCATAAAATCACACAAGAGTTTCTTAAAAAATGCGATGTGGATAAGTATGTTGCCTGAGATCCAACTGAACACCTTTGCAGTATTATAAAGAGAAAGACAGCCCCTGATTGGATAACAAGAACACTGCTACCTAGAGATGTTTCACCCACCTCATTAGCATTGATGCCGTTGTTGACTGACCAGGTTGCCTGAAAATATTCCAGCATCCTTTGCTTCAGCTGCTGAGGAAGCCGATGCACACGGATGAAGTCCTTAAGATCCTTCATTCTGGTGTGGTAGAGCGACCGACGCGAATACATGCGCTGGATGATGGCTGTCACGTTGCCAAAGACCACCGCATGCATCAGGGCTGGAGGTGGCAGAAGAAGCAACACCGTGATGACCCCAGAAGAATTATGTGATAATACGTTTGGTCGATTTCACCTTTAAACTCACCTCCCATGAGCATGATACAGATGGAGAAGATCTTCTCTGCGTCTGTGTTGGCGCAGACGTTGCCAAAACCGACGCTGGTGAGGCTGCTGAGGGTGAAGTAGAGGGAGGCGATGTAGGCGCTGGGCATGGAGGGGCCGCCCATGGTGCTGTTGATGTACGGAGTCTCCAGACGCTTCCCCAGCTCCTGAAGCCAGCCTGGATGAGTCGGAGGAGGCTTAAATGAAACTTTGTGGTGGATCTTAGCTGACAAGATATCTCTTTAAAGAAAAAAAGTAATGGTTCTCAAGAATGTTCTTTGGTTCTTCAAAATGCCAGCTGAAGAAACCTTTGTGGTTAGGGGATGGTTCTTTCAAGTACCTTCAGTTTAGTTGCCGTTATTTGGTTTGGGTGTCATCATTTTTTGATGGTTCTTAGAGGCACCTTTGGGAATATTTTGCTTAAAGGTTCTTCGTAAAACTGAAAATAGTTAATCTATGGCATCAAGAAACATTTCTTAGCATTTTTATTTTCATTCTCTAAATGTTGTCTGAAAGTTCTCTGGTTCTTCGAAGCTCCAAAACCAATCGAAGAATCTCTTGATTTAGTTTTCACCTTTTTTGTTTTTCACCTTTGCTTCTTGTTCTTTTATTTTGGTTTTTTGCCAGGATTTTCTTCAAAAAAGGGTTCTTTCTTTTGAATTCCAAACGGTTAAATTAGTTGTTTGCTTAATTTTTGTTCTTTTTTAAAAAATAAAAAAAACCTTTTGCTGAAGTGTTCTTCTGTGGCATCACTGTGAAGAATCATTTTGGTTGCAGTTAGATATTTTTGATATTTTGAAATACATCAAAAAAGAAAAAATCCCTTAAAAACCTGTAACTAAATACCTTTTGTTTTGTTTTTTTAAAGAAAATGAACTTTTTTTCCCCCTCATATGAAGACAGTTAAATTACAAATTTATTGTGATTTGCCAATAATTATATACAAGTTTAATACCATAAATATATTTCTCAAATGAGTGAGTAGCTTTACAAAGATTTATTAGCACCTTTTTTGTCTGACTGTAGAACATTAGTGTTTTTATTATTAGTTTATTATTATATTTGACCTACTGGGTGATATAATACAGACATAAAGCATCAGTGGTGATATAACGAAGCTGCTCTGTGAGGCTCACTTCCTCTGGACTGAAGCTGAGAGCTGAGATGATGCTGAGGCACTGGAGCGTGATTAGAGACGTGCAGCACTGAGTCCAGAAGAGACACTAAACCTGTCAGAGTGAAGCCAACGAACAACATCACTGTAATTAGTGATGGAGCTGTGAAACACCAACCCGGCGTGCTCACCTATGTCCCAGGTGATGGGGTCGCTGCTCTCTATCTCCTTGCGTCCGATGACGTACCAGACACAGGCCATCCAGTGGGCCAGCAGGGCGAACACCGACATGAGCAGGGTCAGAACCACGGCGCTGTACTGGGAGTACCGGTCCAGTTTCTGCAGCAGGCGCAGCAGGCGCAGCAGCCGGACCGTCTTTAGAAGGTGAACCAGCGACGTCTGGAGACCCAACATAGAACATACCTGCTGGATTATTCTGCATCACTTTGCTTTTTGTTAGATCTGCACATGTAGGGTTGATTCACCAACACAGTTGGACTAATTTTGATGATATATTTATCTATCCTGTTTTGTTAAAAATTACATTTTTCTTGCAATTTTACAGATTTTTTAAATTTTGATTTTAAATTAAACAATGAAAAATAAAAAACTAACTGTGGTTGAATGTCTAATGTAAAACAACATCAACAACCTAAATGTCTGAATGACCAAAAAATGTAGATTTTTTTCCTGAAAAAACGTTTGTTGATGTTTTGCACATAGATTTTTTAACGAATGTTTTCATCATGTATAATATTTGGTATTTTATTTTTAATTATTTGATGATATAATAATAATAATAATAATAATAATAATAATAATAATAATAATAAATAAATAAATAAATAAATAAATAAATAATTTCACTGTGTTTATGAAATTTAAAAAAAAATAAAAAATTAATTAAGACCCCTGTCCATAATATACATAGTCTCATGTAAAATCAGGGCTAGAAAATGTATTTTAATTATTATCATTAATTATTTTTAAATCACTGTCTGTCTGTCTTGTATGTATATTACAGGTATTTTTATTGTAAACATCCTATATTAAAAATAAAATATAGTAAATGTATTTTAATTATGTGAAGTTACTATTTTCTTTGTGCTCCAGCTGCTGAAACATGATTGTTTTATTTATTTCCCCACAGTGTAGATGTACTTGCATGACCTCTGACCCCCTCCGATTTTAAAGTTACCAACAGCAGGAAAGTTTTCGACCAGACTTTTAACAAGACCAAAGCTGCAGTTGGAGAAATGTCTTTGTGTGACAGCTGATGAAATAAAGCTAATCTGTCAGAAGTAGCAGCGCTGCAGCAAACAGACAAGTTAAAATGTTCAGCGAAGTGGGTGAATTTAGATGGATAATTATCTCCGGTCTGTGCTCTGGAAGAATGACACTAAAACAGTCACTGTGGGTCTAAAGTTAGAGAGTCTGGAAAGTATAAAACGAAGGGACGTGTTCTGCAGCCAGATCTTACCACGGTGATGTTGAAGGCGTAGAGAAGGTCAAAGGGCAACGCTGCGATCAGATCCACAAAGAACCAGGTGGTGCAGTAATGGATGTAGATGGATCGAGCGTCGTACACGACCTGACCACTCTGACTCACATAGGTGGTCCGGAAATTCAGGATTATATCTGGGAAGGAGCAGGAAAATGAAAAGTAAAGGAAAAACATGAAAAGAAAGAGAAAGAAAACATTCCAAAAGATTGGAAGATGATTGTAAGATGAGTACCTTCAGAGTAAGTCAAGTCAAGTTAAGTTATTAAGTTAAGCTAAGCTAAGTGAAGCTAGAATAAGATAAGGCTAAGTTAAGTTACATAAGTTAAGCTACGTTCAGCTAAGCTAAGCTAAACTAAGTTAGGATTGCATTAGGTAAACTAAGTGAAGTTAAATTAGGTTAAGATAGAATAAGATAAACTAAGTTTGTCTAGGTTAGATAAATTAAGTTAAGTTAGAATAAGATAAGCTCAGTTAAGTTAGATAAGGTAAATTTAGTTAGACAAGATAAGATAAAATCCAGCTAAGATATCATAAATTAAGTCAAATTAGGTTAAGTTAAACTGAACTAAGTTAAGTTGCATATGTTAAGTTAAGCTAGATAAGTTCAGTTTGGTAAGATAAGTTAAGATAGTTAGATTAAGTGAGCTAAATTAGGTTAAGTGAAATGGGATAATATAAAATAAATTAGGTAAAATTAAGTTAAGTTAGGTAGGTTTGGTTAAGTTTGATTAGATAAGTTAAAATAGAATAAATCAGTGCAAATTAAATTAATTTAGATAAGTTAAAGTAGAAAAGTTAAGTTAGATAAAATAATATGAAAAACACAAAACAGAAATTAAATTAATCAATTTAAGTCAGGACTTTCATAATGCTAAAGGAAACTCTTTTGCTAGATATTGCTCCGAAAACAAAATGACATAGAACTTGGTACCCAGGTACTTTAATTTTTAAGAAACATTGTAAAACTGGTGAGTGACTGATAGAGAACGAAAGAAAAATTGTTCACGTCAAAGATTCAAATAGCAAAAATCTGCAAATCCTTTAAAAAACAAACAAACAAACAACAACAAAAAAACTGTTGCAGCATTAATTAATGTATGAATAATGAAATGGTGAAATAATGTCAGTTATTTATTATTTTTATTTTACTTTATGCAAGTCATTAGTTTTAAAAAGCCATTCTATTTTTGAAAGCAGCTCTTTCTAGACCTTCACTGATAATCAGAAAACACAAGACTGAAATGGAAAAGCAGTATTTCTTTATTTCTTTATTTATTTATTTATTTATTTTTGCAGAATTAATGATCTCTGCTAATATATTTGACTTCATGTGTTTTTGTGCAGCGAGAAGCCGAGCTCTCCTGCTGCAGAATGGAGGACAAATTTGAATGATTCATGAGCAAGAACTTCACATTTACCATAAAGCTGACCTAATGACAGTAGCATGTGTTAGCAGGTGAGCTAATTCTGTATCGCCATCTGTCCCCAGACAAACTTGTTGAGAGACGTGAAGTCAACGAGACCTGTGACAGATGTGCTATCACACTTCGGAGGGGGAAAAAAAAAAAAAAAGGGGACGGAGCGAGAGAAATCTAATTATGATTCATAACCTGGGGCAACTGAGACGCCCTGAGTGGGCGAGAAAAGGTAGGAGGGAGTCATGTGTTAGCCATTGCCAGGGAAACGACAGCTGCACAGAGAAAATATATAACGTTGTTGTCTTTTCATAGCGCAGCTCGAGATGCTTCAACGCAAAGGTCAGCTGGTGTGCAATCAGCGCAGAAGATGTTAGTTTAAAATTATAGATCTGCAAGCCACCAATTATCTTCATGCAGAAGTTAGATAACAGCCTCCGACTGTCGGCAGGAAGATTTTAATCTATTTATTTAATGTTGTTCCGAGGTTGTGCAGCTACATGACTAAAGAAAATCCCCCTGACTACAACAATCGTATGACAGAACAGGAGTACATCCCTGGATTTCATTCATTAGGTTTACTATATTAAGAGATGTTCTGCCATTCTATGGACACTATGTTGTTGTTCTTTTTTCTTCAGAACGCCGTTCTTCACTGTCAGGACTATGCATTCACTGGGACAGTCCAGGCCAGGATTCAAGTCAGGACGCACACTTGTCCAGTCGTCACTTTTTTCTTCTGCACAAATTGTTGTGATTTTGTTCTTTGGATGGTTCTCATGGATTAATTCTCTCCTTCAAGCTTCTGCAGACTGGGAGTCATCTTGTCAGACAGTATTTTGGTTCATCCACAGATATTCATGGTGCATCTATGAGGTGTGTCAGAAAAGTTCCAGGACTGGTGTTACAAAAGATATATTTCAAATGACAGACTACGACTTTTCCCTTTCAGGCGATCAACCAGCACGTCTACAAAGAGATCCTGCAGCGTTTGCTTTGTTCAGAAGAGGCGAGAGTTGTGTCAGGACGAGTCGTGGCTGCTTCACCATGACAACACGCCTGCTCACAATGCCCTGAGCATCCCACAGTTCCTGGCTGAGAAGAACATCGCCGTGCTGGAGAAACCTCCCTACTCACCCCACCTGGCTCCGTGGGATTGTTTCCTCTTCCCCAAGCTCAAGGGGGTCATCAAGGGATTTAGAAGACGTGGACGACATCAGACAACAGACAACAGAGCTGAGGAGGATCCTGGAAGAATCCTTCCAGTAGTGCATGGCGGCGTGAAAGAGAGCGCTGGGACAGTGTGTTAGACTCCAGGAAGATTACTTGGAAGGGAAAAACTTGTAGTTTGGATTTGAAATATATCGTGTGTGACACCAGTCCTGGAACTTTTCTGACACACCTCGTATAAATGTAATCTTCCCAACACCTTTTCCACTCATGCAGCCCCATATCATGATACTGCCACCTCTGTGCTTCACTGTCAGGACGATGCATTCACTACATCTTCACTCCATAGTTCTGGTGTTTGCAGCTCATTTCAGAACCATGTTAATGCGTTAAGCTGACTGGAAATCACAGGTGTATTCACTTTTGTGCATTCAGTTTCTTATATTTTCCTTGCAAAGTATTTGTTTTTGATGACTTATAAAATGGATTTCCTGCTGTCCAACTTAGATATAATGCAGGCATTGAAACGTGATGGAGTTTTGAACCATTTGCCGTGTTCTCTCTCCTGCTGTATGCTGAATAATAAACAATAAAATCTGTAGAGGTGAGGTCACAGCCTCCCACTTTCCAGAGAACGATGTCCATCTGCTTTTTCAATCTTGTTTCAAGGCTTCACAGTCACTGAAAACATGCCCCCTGCCCACAGCGTCTTAATTAAACAACATACCGAGTATAAAGAGCATCTCCACCGCTATGTCACTGCCTATAGTGCTTCGACTGACAAGTGAGCGGCCATCGCTGCTTTCATCATGGCTGACGAAGCAGACATTGTAAGGCACAGTGACGGCGACGTAGAAGGTCGCCAGCAGGATCAGCCAGTCCCACAAGGCCTTGGAGACGCTGTAGTGCAGCAGGATGAAACGTGACTTCTTCACAGCTGCCACCTTGTACTCGGGGAGGGATGGTTTCTGGAACACGCTCTGAAAATATCACAAGATGTACCAAACTTAAATCTCCGATGCGTACAATGATGTCCTGGTTTTGTTTGCAGAACAGTCGACACAGTTGCGGTGATCATTTTTCAAAAGCGGGCGGTGCAATGCAGAGCGACTGTTCCACAAGTCTGTGCAACAGCAACATGAGAAAAAAACCTTCTTTAGAAACAACAAAAGTCAAAGTAAACTGGCTTAGATGAAACTCTACAAGGTGGAAATGCTCAGTTGTATTGTTGACTGTTTAGTTTGCTCATGATGCGTCTTCCAGCCTCTAAAAAACATCACGTAGACATGGTAACAAAGGTCAAACTAATTTTTTTAAGTATTTTTAGAGTCATTTTAACCTGCATGGACATCACATTTTGGGTTATATTACCACAGTAGTTAATTTTTAAATTTGTTATTTATTTATTTATTTTCTTTAAAGTATTTCTATATATTTTTTAAAAATATATTTTTATTTTCTTTATTTATTTATTTATTTTTGGCTATTTGATCAGATCAAATAGCAAAGAGAATTTTTTTTTTTTAAAAAGCATATCTAACAAGAGCTCAGGTCTTAAGAAGTTAATGTCACCTTGAAACCTCGAGAAACTCTGAATAGTTTAAAGATATGAAACCTATTTTGTAAATGTGCTCATCATGTCACATTTTGAACTGCTATATTTTCTCCTTCAGGCAATTTGCAAGTTTTTCATGGTGTTTGCAGAAACTGTAAAAATATGAGGTAGAAAAAAAAAAGGAAAAAGTGTTAATTGTGATAAACAGTGTCAGCGCTTGCCAGTCAGAATCCTTTTTATTGTCATTATGCATACACTTTCATACACGTGACAGATTTACAGGTGGAAGTCTCGGCTTTCAGCAGAAAGGAAAATGGCCTAAATAGACTTCTGAGAAAGTATAAACTCAAATATAAATGTAAGCATTTTTTAAAAGAAAAATGCAAGCACAGTGCAGTGTCCAGGTGTGTGAGGTAGCGGCTCACCTGTGTGCTGAGTGTGCTGTCTGCAGAGGAGTGTGTGAGTGTGTGTGTGTGTGTGTGTGTGTGTGAGTGTGCAGAGTGTGTGTCAGCGGGGGTGGGGTAATGAGAGGGGTGTCTGTGTGTCTTCCTAAAAAGACTGCAAATTGGTGTCAAATGCTCAACTAGGGTTTAGAATTAGTGCAGCAAGCTTTGATTCACTCTCTAAACCCCCAAAACACAGCGGCAGGTTTCAAAGACATGTTATCTTCAAAATTTTAAAAAAATGTCACCAGAGCCAGACACAGTGAAAACAGAATATATTGTCGGATTTTCTACTTTCCGACAGCCTTTGAACTAATCTTCTGTGATGTGCAGTGTCATGGTATACTTTATCTAATTCACTTTATTCTACATGTGACTTTAAAAAAAAAATCTGCAAAAACAGTTCACAGTAACCAGTTTCCGAAAAAAAAAAAAAAAATTCTGCCCTTCTTGGTGCAACTGAGAAGTTATGATTGATTCAGGTGCAACCGACAGTCACATGACAAAAATCCTGTGACTTTTTGGCTAAACCACAGTCAGTGTTTACGCAGACATGCTAATATGGAAAATAAATAAATTTAAATACTTAAATATCTACCGTAATTACAGCGGCCCTTTCCCCAGGTATTTTTGACAGCTGTGGACACTTGAAAAAAATGTTCTACAACTTTATTCCAGTTTTTTTGTTTTTGAAAATTAACTCCCATACTGCTCAAAAGACATTTCTGAGTTCTCTCTACATCTTCTTGTGGCATTGTTGCATATTTTTGTGTCCTGGCATCATTTTTGTCTCTTATATTTGTGTCTTTTGTTTCATTTTTTTGCATCTTTTAATGTCATTGAAGCATCTTCTTGTGTCTGTGTCATTATTTCCTGTTATTTTTGCATCTTTTTATGTCATATTTGTGTCTCTTTGTGACGATGTAACTGTGTCAGAAGACATTTCTCTCCTTCTAGCCATGGCTGTGCAGCTTCTACAGAGGTACAGGAATTTATGTTGCACTGAAAAATGAGGGAAAAATGTGATCGGAGCAAAGAAAATCCAGAAACTGCTTGGAGTTCAGAGAGTAAAACTATCTCCTATAATGCATTTAAACAGTAAATATCACAAAAGTTTAGCTAATGAGAGTGTGAACGCTATTCTTTTAAGGATCATTAACACTTAAATGTTTTGTGTTAAATTATCTTTAAGGACCTCATCTGGTTTAAAGGCAGTTTTTTGTGTGTAAAAAGACACAAAAATCATAACTGAGCTGTTCCACCATCAGTGTAGAGTCACATCGAAGCCGCAAAACTGTACATCTGATGCACAGAGATGAGTATTTTGGAGGTTAAACCAGCAGCTATAGAGGGGTTTTGCACTCACATCGGTCAGTTTCTTCTTTCCTCTTTTGCTAAACAGGCTGTTCAGGTGATGCAGAATCGTCCTGCTTCTCTCTCGGGCTTGAGAAAAGTGTGACCGGTTGGTTTTCCTGCTGTGGTGAGCAGCTTCTGACACACCTGTGAGCAAAATCATGATCGCCATGAAAGTACATCACTTAAAAATCATCATAATCGACAGAGTCTGGAAGAGCCGGGCCTCACCGTCTCCCTGAGCGTAGTGATGACTCTTCCCATAAGACTCGCTGACATCTTTGAAGGACAGCAGGAACAAAACCACTTCACCTTTCTCGTTTTTAATTGGCACAATATCCAAGAGGCACCAGAACGGATTTCCTGATTTCCAATTTAAATGGAGAAATGCCTTTTTAGATGAGATTTTGGACAAGATGTTTGAATTGCAGGTGTGAAGGGATGTTCTCACCGTTCTTCCGGTAGAAGCAGACCTCCCCCTGGTACTCCTGCTGGCCCTCCAGAGCTTTGTCCACCTGCTGGATCACGTTGTCGCTGGTCTCGGCTCCGTGCAGGAAGCTGCAGGTGCAGGTTTTCTGCATCACCTCGGTCCGAACGAAGCCGGTCAGCTCGCAGAACCCGTCAGAGCAGTAGACGATGGGGTAACCATAGCGACCCTGAGCGTTTCCCAGGAGGAAGTTACTGTCTGGGAGGAGAATGAAAGGAGGATGGAGGTGAAACTGCTGAAGGACTGATTGATGCCTCTTGGGTTATTCCATATGAAATCCATCAAATCAGAAAGAAGCTCCCTCAGAATCATCAGATTTTTTAAAAATACAATATATTTATTATATTTATTGAAGCCATGCAAAGTTTAACTTCATGCTATGGATGTTTTCAGACATACAGGTCCTTGAAATACATCGCTTTGTGCTTTTTTAAATCAACTTTTTCCATCATAACTTCATCAATACAGCAGATAAACATGAACACTGCAACCAAATCAATTGAACATCCATCCAGGTGTCGCAATCTATAGACTAAACCTGTTTTTTGTTAATCTATAACCAGCTTTCAGCATCAGTATTATGGGATACATCATAGTTTCATGTCACAAAGATGCTAAAAATGTCACTAAATGACAAAAATGAGCCACAGAGCAAGAAAAACAAGGCACAAAAATCACTCAAACCATGATAAATGAGGTACGAAACGCCAACAACCAGACAAAACATAACTATTTCTATGACCGACCTTGGAACATCCATATTATGGGAAGTAATTGCAGGAGTTACATATCTGACATAGCGTCGTAGAAACAAGCATTGGTATCCTGGATGTGTTTCTGTTTTCTAACAATTCACCTTTAAAAAAATGCATTTTGAGTAAACTTTCAAGGCTCATGTCAGCATGTGTGATGGTGGTTGGTCAGAACAGGTTATAGTGAATGAAAGGCCTGATTTCTACCTACATCTGATACAAGATCATCTTCTAGACATGATTCACTCTGTGGAAAAATAGTTTTCTTATGAAGTTATACTTTAACACTCGTGAATGTATGGTGGTTGTTAATACTTAGAGGAAAAATGAGCAAAAACACAGCTTTAGTGTTTAGATTGTGACACCTGGATGGATGTAGAACTGATTAGGTTACAGGATTTAACAGAACTCTAATGTGTGTTTCAGCCCTGAATATCTCATGTGTCTATCTGCTGTACTGATGAAGTTATGAGGCTCAGACATGATGGAAAAAGTAATCATGAATTTCCACTGACCTCTATGAACTTGTCTGTATCTGAAAATATTCATAGTATGAAGCTACGACTTTTCGTGGCTTCTTTAAATATAATAAATACATTATACATTCTGAGGGCGTCAGGTTTGGATTGACCTTCTTTATCTTTGTCCATTCACCCGTCGAGCGTCACTCCACATGTCACAAACAGAAAACTTCTTTTTCACATCTAAGTTTTTTCTGAGCCCTCCACCGGTCTGTGTGCATCACAGAGGACTTTGAAGTTTGCTGCTGCTGCTGCTGCTGTGGATGAAGTCTGAGGCTCTGCAGGGAACCAGGACCTCAGTCAGACTCTGGACCTTAATTATCATGTGGACCATGTTTTCCTGCTGCCACCAGTCTGCAGGAGGTTTCAGTATTTACACATCAAAACATGTTTGGATGATTATCTCTGCTGCGGCATTATGCATTCACTAGACCCCTAATCTTCACCCTAAACTAAACCTGATTCTAACCTCAAAACCAAGTCTAAACCCCTGAGAGCAGACCTTAAAGAGTGTCCTCACAAATGAATATATGAACACACACACACATTTTTTTTCCTTTTGCATTAAACAAGGTTGCTGAAGGTCTTTTAAAATATGTTGTTTTTTACTTTTACAGCAAAAAATTTGATTTATTTTGGAAGAATTGTACAAATTTTTCCTCATACTTCCAGTAATTGCTTTTTTTAGGATGCCAAATTAATGCAGTCTGATTCCTCATTAAATTCATGAAGGTCACCATGTTCCGTTTTGAGTGTTTTGGAGCGATTCGACTTTATTTTTCTTCGACAGTTTGTCTATTTATTGTAAATCAGTGAAGTTAGAACCATGAACCTGAGAGTTTAGAGCACTGTAGCTGAGAAAAACACATGCAAATAATAAAAAAGGAAGTAAATGCAAACAAGCTAAGAACATACCAGATCTACAACATCTAAAACATAAAAAATGGAAATAAAATGATGCAAATGCAACAAACACACCAAAATAGGTCAACAGGAAGTCTGCAAGTAGGACTACGATGGAAATGGTTCCTGTGTGATAACACAAGATCGTTATTAATGAAGTTGCAGAAGTCAGTTATGTGCTTTAAAAAGTAGTTAAAATGTGAGTTTTATTCATAGTAGATTTGTGCCGTTAACCTGCAGTGTTTGTGTTTAGCTGCATTTTCTCTATTGTGTATTTTCCTACTGTTGGACGTGTGGTATTCAATAACGGAAGATGTTTTATTCATTCTAAAAGAAATGTTTTGGTGGTAAAAAATGTAATACTGTAACATTTAAAACTTGTAAAATCTTGGTTTGGAACTGCTTTTGGACTGGTTTTAGTCTTGGCTCTGGAATGTGTCTGGATTTGGTTTTGGACTGGTTTTGGATTTGGTTTTTAAACTGGTTTAAGGTTGCCTTTTGGACTGTTTTGAAACTGCTTTTGGACTGTTTTTAGACCAGTGTTGGATTAGTTTCTGGAATGGTTGTGGACTGGTTTTAGATTTGGTTTTGGACTGGTTTTGGGATTGTTTGAAATTTGTTTTTTCACTGGGTTTAGACCAGTTTTGGACTGGTTTTAGATTTGGTTTTGAAATGTTTATAGATGTGCTTTTGGACCAGTTTTGGACTAGTTTTAAACTGGTTTCAGACTACTTTGGGGACTGTTTTGGACTTTATTTTGGATGGGTTTTAAGATGGTCTTGGACAGGTTTTGGACTGGTTTTAGAATGGTTTTAAAAGTTCTTTTGGACTGTTCTCAAAGCTTTGTTTTGGACCAGTTGTGAAATGGTTTATGGACTTGGGCTGTCTTGGAACTGGTTTGGTTGTTGGCTGATTTTTGTACTTTGAGGGACTGTAACTCTGAAATTATTCACAGTATGAAAGTAAAACTTCACACGGCTTCATTAAATACTGAACTTATTGTCTAGAAAAACATCAGCTGAGTGTGAGTGGAATCCATTCACCCTTCGTGGAGCCATTTTATCCATTTTGACAAGCTGTTCTCAGAAATACAGCGGCCTCCCGCATTTATTCAGCTCCCTTCGAGCTGCAGAGTGATTTTAAAGGGTAACTGATATGTGGTCGTGTCCTCTCAGCTCTATTGTGAAGAGGAACCAACAGCACACACGTCTTTTCCATTCACCCACTAATGCGTGTCTGCTTTCAGCCGGTTAACCGTTCAATACTTAGACAAATAAACCGAGTCTATTGAAAGCGTCGTCTTTCATTCATTCACTCGGTCGGCCTCTTTGAATGTTTGAATGTGAGCAAATTAGATTTAAAAGATTGTTTGCAGGTAAAACTCTATAATGATGAGGCTGAGCGGCCGGTTCTAATGAGGCTTTGAGTCTCTGCCTGCAGCGAGCAGAGTAAACACAGCGATAATACCAGCCTTTATTCTGATCCCACGTTCACCTGATGTGTTTTAAACACTTTTTTCGAACCAAGAAATAATTAGAGGGTGTTAACGAAGTGCTTGTTCCGTGAGAAAAAAAAAGACCTGTTATTAGTGATGTGTGGATGATTTCTACCTGACATGTGTGTGTGCAGTTTAATCGCACATGAAGCTAAATTAAGATCCTTTCCACACTTGTGTTGCCATGGCAATCTGTGCAGAAGAAAAATAAAACATATGGTAATGCTTCCCCTCGCTTCTACGGGGTTACCAAGACACCGTGGCCTCTAAAAGCACAGATAGTCAATGATGGACGCGCAGCATCGGCCTGAATCAAATTTATACTCGACGCAGGTTTTCTTCAGATTGCAGACCTTCTATTAACTGGTGGCCCGGAGTCAGAAGTTCATCTGTATTTATGCTAAATTGTTCTGATTCATGGATAAAAGTGTAATCTTGGTGAGTCCCCCCCCTCCATCAGGTCCTGCCTGTTTCCTCCCTCGGCCTGTTTCCATGGCTTTGTTTTATTCTGTGAGGACAAGAAAGAACCCAACAAGCAGGGAACGTTTTAGATTGTTTTTAGGTTTGTTTGGGTTTTGTACCAAGTTTTAGACTTAGCTTTAGGTGTGTTTTGGACTGGTTTGGTTCTTACTTTCAGACTGGTTTTGGACTGGTTTTAGATGTGTTTTGGACTGGTTTTGTACTTAGCTTTAGACTTGCTTGGTTTTAGACTGACTTGGTTTTAGACTTGGTTTTGCCCTGTGTTTTGGACTGTTTTTAGAAGTGATGTTGGATTGGTTTTAGACTGGTTTTATGTTTGTTTAGGACTAGTTTGGCCTGGTTTTGAACCCGCTTCTAGACTTGATTTTAGACGTGTTGTGGACTGGTTTTGTACTTACTTTTAGACTTGTGTTGTAGTGACTTTGTCCTTAGTTTTAGACCTTTTTTTAGACTGGTTTTGGATTGTTTTTAGGCGTAACTTTGTGTTGGTTTTAGATTTGGTTTTGTTCTTAGTTTCAAACTCAGTATTAGACTGGTTTTCTGTTTGTTTGAGACTGGTGTTAGACTGGTTCAGGACTTAGTTTAGGACTTGGTTTTATTCTTGTTTTGGAGCAGTTTTGTTCCTACTTTTAGACTTGGATTTAGACTTGGTTTTGCACTGTTTTTAGAAGTGATATTGGATTAGTGTTAGACTGGTTTTATGTTTGTTTGGGACTGTTTTTGGTCTGGTTTTGAACCCAGTTTTAGACTTGATTGTAGACGTGTTTTGGACTGGTTTTGTACTTACTTTTAGACTTGTGTTGTGCTGATTTTAACCTTAGTTTTAAACCTGGTTTTGGACTGATTTGGTTTGGAACTTAGTTTCAAACTCAGTATGAGACTGGTTTTCTGTTTGTTTGGGACTGGTGTTGGACTGGTTCAGGACTTAGTTTAGGCCTTGATTTTATTCTTGCTTTGGAGAAGTTTTGTACTTTCTTTTAGATTTGGTTTTAGACTTTGGTCATGGACTTGGTTTCAGACTGTTTTCAGACATGATTTTGGACTGGTTTTAGTTTAAGACTGTTTTTTCACTGTTATTCAAATTTTTATTTTGTTACCTTTTTTGTACTTGCTATATAAACTGTGATGCACAAATAAAGTTATCACCATCATCATGACATAAAGTACGCACATGGACATGTTAACAAGGTAGAAGAAAAATCGACTAAGACGTGTTGAGTAAAGTGATTTTGGTAAAACATTGTGATTTTAAGCTGCGTAAGTCATCAGAAAGGTTTATAATCTGATGGTTCTTGTTTATGTATAGTTTCTGGTTCTAATAAATAGTGTATACTGACCATTTTAAAAGAAAAACATGCCTTTCACAGGTTAATACTGCCTTTAGATGTCATTATTTTACTACATTTTGCTGCATTGAAGGACTGAAACCTCGGATACCGTCTGATTATCCTGCATCTCTCGCCATAATTCATTTCAATGGATCTCCCTGCTCTCATAAAGGCTCGACACCTCCACTCTTTTCCAGCATCGTGTCTTCAAAAGGCTTCGCTACATACAAATTCCTTCAGTTCAGTCGAGACAGATGCGAGCTGCTCCTCAGTCTTGTCAGTTGGCCCTTTCACCTCCCACTCAGCTTCTCGGTCAGTCCGCCCGCCCACACATCTGATTAGGAGGTAAAGAACATGTCCGCCGCCTCCATGTGTGTACACGCAGTGTTTGTGTAAAGCAGCTCAGAGAAGAGGATGACGGTTTGCAGACTGAGATAATTTGTGAGGTTGCAGCACAGTGTGACCCAAACACTCGCCTTCACACCTTCATCGTGTTCTGTGAAGAGAAAGTCTAGAACCCGCTGAGGTCTTTGTGCTCCGCAGGGACTCTGAGCCGCGGCAACACAATCAGACCAAACAGGACAGCGAGGATCCAGATGGAAAAATGGTCTTTAAAAAAAAAAAAAAAAGAAAGACAAGAATAATGCCACAGCAAAGTCCAGCATGTGTGTTTATGAGATCCAAGTGCATCTGTGATACTAGACACACTTTGGTGCAGTATTCTTAATGCTAAAGGAGTTTGTGGAGCTATACTGACACCAGTTTTTGATTTTATGTGCAATATTTCATTCAGTTTCATGTGCAATATTATGACGTGTAATATTTCAACGACGTGGAGTATTTCATCATCATGTGTATTGCTTCAATTTTATGGGCATTTATTCATTTTCATGTGCAATATTTGATTTTAATGTGCAGTATTTTAATTCAATGGGCAATATTTTATATTTACTTTCATGTGCAGTACTTTAGTTTCACATGCAATATTCATTATCATGTGTAATATTTAGATTTTCTGTGCAGTTTTTCAGTTTCATGTGAAATAATTAAGTTTACTGTGCAACATTTAATTATCTTTTATTGTTGTTAACTACTTCATTGCCAGTAATAGTTCTGATTTTTCTATTCCAGTCGTATTTTAGCCTTCCTATTTTAATTTTTTATCATAGATTTTGATTTTTTAGTCATGTATTTTCAGTGTATCTTATTGTTTTTCTATTAGTTACTGCATTTATTCTTATGAAGTTTCTTAACAAAATCATCTCAAATGATCACAAATCAAGCTTGAAGATGGAGACGTGTTATGTCAATATAGAAATACATCCATCCATTATCTATACACCGCTTAATCCTCACTAGGGTCATGGGGGGCTGGAGACTATCCCAGCTGACTCAGGGTGAAGGCAGGGGACACCCTGGACAGGTCACCAGTCTATCACAGGGCTACACTTAGAGACAGACAACCAAGCACACTCACATTCACACTTACAGACAATTTAGAATCACCAATTAACCTCAACATGTTTTTGGACTGTGTGGGAGAAAGACGGAAAACCTGGAGAGAACCCACGCTGCACGGGGAGAACATGCAAACTCCACAGAAAGATCCTGGGTGTCCTCACCAGGACGTGAACCAGCAACTTTATAGCTGCGAGGCAACGACGCTAACCACCGAGCCACCTTGCAGCCCCAATATAGAAATATATAAACCAAATCAAACCCCTCATGGAAGATATTAGACACAGAGTTTGTCTTTGTGAGAAATCTGCAGTTGCACAAATGATCAATCTGCAAATAAGAACATAAAGCACATGGGCGGTACAGATGTGAAGCCGATGTGTGGAGATTTTAAAAGTGTCAGAATTTTGATGCATCACTTATAAACTGTAAAAATACGATGCTAAAATAGACAATTAGGGAAAATCTTGAATTGTTGTGAGTGATTTATCAAACTACTTGCAGAGAGTTTAATTAACAAGTTGTTCTCTAATAGTTATTGGTATTATTCTGAAGCTGTGGCGCATTTTCACAAGAATAAATGAGATAGTCTTTTATTAATCCCACAGTGGGGAAATCTGCAGTGTTGCAGCAGCAAATGGGAGCAGTACAAACATGTCAAGATCAGTTGAAAATCTAAATAAACAAGAATTATACATAAATACTGTTGATATTGTACATATTCCTCTATATCTAAACATTGAACAGATTCATCCACAAGTAGAAAATGCTGGAAAAATCTTGGCAATATCAATATTTCTTCAGAGGAACTTTGGTATTTTCCTTCCTTCATCTGCATATTTAAACCCTTTAAGAGCAACTGATCTGTTTCCAGCAGCAACAAAAAGCCTATTTTCACTAAACTATTATCATTTTGTGGCACCTTAACCCACGTAAGGGATGTGCAAAGCAAGTATTAAGGTCGGGAAAAGACCCACAGCTTTCGTAACGTTCTGTTCTGCCACAAAATGAGAATCCTGAGTCTTTTCAAGCCCCATAATAACAAGGAAAGACGTTAAACATGCAGAGAGGGCGTTTCTAATTTAAATCTTCATTTTGCAGCCGAAGGATTTGATTCAGCCATTTTGTTGCTTGTTTGAAAGAAAAGCCTCGGCTGGAAATTGCATGAATCTCATCAGTGACAGTAGCACGGCGGCTCAACAAGTGTCTGCTCAGGTCCGATGTATTCTGCAGCCCAGTAATTGGGGTTTATCAGCCAGAGTCTGAACTGGGTTACAGAAACGCTGCAGGGCTGAAATAAGAAACAGGGAAGCTCAGCTGGAGGAGCTGCGTCCTTCACGCTGAGACTAAACTATTTGCAGGGACATCATTTAATATTTTTAATGGGTCTCCCTGGAGAGAGAAAACTGAATAGAAAAAACTACAGGAAGAAAAAAAAAAGGGTGAAAAACTGGCTGCAAAACAAGATGTTAAAAAATGATGGAAAACTGAGCATCAAAAACTGTGAAAATAACGACTAATATCTGTAAAAGTATAACACCTTTAGCTGGAAACAGTGTAGCTTGTAAGAACAAAAACTATTCATAAAAACACTGATTTACAGTTTTCTTTTTAAAACCATTAATATGCAAATTAGCTTTTTTTCCCCTGTGATTTAACAAAACAGGGGAGATCTGTAATATAACAGTTAAAAAATATGTTCACTATTTTTCACCTTTAATTTACAAAATGTTTCTTTCAAATGATGGCAAATAACTGCAAATTAGAAATATTTTTATTTATTACTAATTATAAAAACACAGATTTTTAGGGAAAATCTATAAAAAATAACAGTTAAATATAAATAAATATTCCTTCAAATAAGGGCAAATACTACTACTACTACTACTACTACTAATAACAATAATAATAATAATAATAATAAGAATAACAATAATAAGAAATTTTATCCGTATGGTGCTTTTCAAAGACTCAAAGACACAACTAATACAAAGCAGACTACGCAGAGATACAAGTAAGCAGATAAAAACAACACAAGATATCATGATAAAGGTTTAAGTGAGAAAAGCAGAGTGAAACAGGTGAGTTGTAGTTTGGATTTGAAAGTTATTAGGTCTGTGGTTTTGTATATTAACCTTTTATCTGGTTTGAATAAAGCAAAATGGTGCAATTTTATGCTCAAACATTGTAAAAGTATGAATTCATATTTGTAAAATGCAGATTGTTGATGTGGGTTTTGGCCCATTTTTAATTTTTATGCTTAACATTAATACATTTTTTCTGTGATTTTCTACTTATTATTTGTAATTGAACAAAACAGGGAGAATCTGTAAAATAACAGTTTAAAGAATTATTTTCCATTTTTCAATTCTTCATATATGTTTTTTTTTTGGTGTGTGTAGTTTTTTCAAATAAAGACACACATGTGAATGAACTTTTTTCCTTTTTTCTGATCTCTAAACATTGTTATTTACAGTCAGTTTTTGTAAAACACAGACTACAGATGTTTGATGTGGATCTCATTAAGAGTTATGAGCATTTTTCTCATTTCTTTTTTCACAGTAAACAGATAAATTAATGTTGTTTTATTAGTTATTATCTGTAATTTAACTAAGCATGAAAAATATCTACAATAACTGCGACACAAAAAAATACCCCCTTAATTTCTAAAACTGTAATCTGTACTGGATGTTTTTTTTAATCTGTCACAGAAAGCTTCACTCCTGAACCTGCAGACTCACCGTTTTGTCAACATTCTGAGTAAAATCTGAATCTCTCCTCCCAGAAATACTCACGAGTGCCGTCGAAGTGGTTGGCGATGGAGTCCAGGAAGGTGTTCTGTGGCGCGAGGAGACCTTTCATCACCGGCATCTTTACGGATTTTAAAAGAAAAGCTCCACTAGTTCCTCACGGAGCAGCTGACAGAGACGCTGATGAAGCTGGCATCACAGAGGAACTCGTCCTCGCTCGCAGGTTGTTTTTTTTCTTCTAGTTTTCTGGAGATCCTCTCTGAGCTCTGCAGGCGTTCGGTCTCTCACTAAAGTCTGATCGGTGGAACTCGTCTCACCGTGCTTCCTGCTTCTCTCCTCCCTCCTCTTTGTACTGAAGCCTGATCCATCCCCCTTTTCCTCCTCACACTGGATTCATTCCACATCTCTCCTCTCTCTCAGACACAACCTGGATCCTCCTGCTTCACATTTCCCCTGAGAAGTTGTTAGAAATCACTTTCTGTCTCTGTCTATTCATGAAGATCCTCGATGGGAGCTTCAGGAACACTTTTGCTGCAGATTCTGTTCTGGCAGGAAGATGTTGTACAGGTGATGAGATTCTTCAAGGTCTCTAAAGAGGTCTTTTTTCTTTTCATCAGACCTTCTATGGACACAGAGATCAAAGGTCAGCGTGAACAAACACAGACCCTGACTGCTCTGCTTCAGCTACTTTACAGGATTACATCATGGAGCCCAGGCTGAGCACGATGAAACTGGACAACCTGCATCTAAAATATAAGAAAATTCAGGAGTTTACACCAGATGAGTTTTTATGGAGCTACAACAGGGACTGTGTTAGTTGTCACTGAAAAAGAAATAGTCCTTGAAACATTTGTTTTCTTTATGTATACTTTCAATGACAATTTTTTAAATTTTTTTAAAATGATTTTTAAAGTGTCTCCATTTGGGGTGGAGGGGAGGAGCCTGAGGGGGCGGGGCAAGTCGTGCATTATTTACAGATCATTTGTATATAAAGGAGCGTTGACTGCTGGTCGATTAGTTTTTGCACCAAGAAAATTTTGCTTCTTCCTGGTTGACATCTTGAATTTTTGGAGCCAGAGATGAAAAAAAAAGATGCACTCCTTGCCCCTCCCCTCAGACTCCTCCCCTCCACGCCAAAAGAGAGACAGAAAGTTGTCACCATCCATCATCTATACACCACTTAATCCTCACTAGGGTCATGGGGGGCTGGAGTCTATCCCAGCTGACTCAGGGTGAAGGCAGGGGACACCCTGGACAGGTCACCAGTCTATCACAGGGCTACACTTAGAGACAGACAACCAAGCACACTCACATTCACACCTACGGACAATTTAGAATCACCAATTAACCTCCTGTGTGGGAGGAAGCTGGAGAACCTGGAGAGAACCCACGCTGCACGGGGAGAACATGCAAACTCCACGCAGAAAGATCCTCACCAGGACGTGAACCAGCAACCTTCTAGCTGTGAGGCTACGATGCTAACCACTGTTCCACCTTGCAGCTTCACTTGTCCAATATTACAGATTCTAAATCAATGACATGATGAGAAATAACAGTGAATGTTTCAGGTTTTTATCTTCAGTAGTTCTTCAGATATTGTTCTTCAAACAGGCTCAGATTTTAATGTTTGACATGTGAAGCCAAAATTTTACAGATATCTAATAAATATCTAGATTTCATCCAAAAGCATTTTCAGGCAAATCAGACGTGGTCCAGTAGATGAATCCACATGTTTCATTAAATCAACAGAAATTCAGCGTCAGCGTCCTGATAAGAAAATCAGATGCTCTTTAGTCAACCAAGAGACGGCCTTCAGCTAGTTTCAGAGTGTCGCCCAAGAGTGACCAAACTGAGCAAGAGAAGAGGAGGAAACCTGACAATGTGTTTAAAAGGAGACTTATCTGAACCAGAATCCAACAAAGACGCAGACGTCCACAAGTTTCAGCCAAACAGATAGTCGATTGAGTTGAACAAATATCTGCTGCTGAGATCCGCTCCGGTGTCCCTTATTGTACAGGAAGTTGATAAAAATCCACCATCCTAAGCTGCTCTGGTTACTTGTGAAGCAGAGATGACCAGAAACTCCATGAAGCTCCTCGTTTTTGTCTGCAGCTCCAACTCTGGTCTCCTTCACGCTGCTTCTGTTCAGCTCACAGGTGTTTCTGATTTAACTCCTCCCTTGTTGTCCACGTAGAAAAAAAAAAAGATTTCTTCTGTGCATTTTCTTTACTTTTTCTGCTGCAGCGGTCTGTTGAGGTACACTGTAAAAAATAACAGTGAAAACAGCAGCAACATCTTAAAGATTTAAATACAGCTAGCAGAGTAATTTTACAGTTTCATGTTGTCAAAGGACAAATTAATATTTCTAAAAGTACAGTTGACATGTAAATTAAGAGTTTGGTGACTTTACTATAATGAATGGAAAAAAACAAAACAAAAACTTTATTTATCCCAGAAGGGAAATTCAATAATATATAATTATCTTTAATTTGACAAAACAGGAAAAATCTGTAAAGTTAAAAAGATTGTTTACAATTTTTAAATTCTTATTGTCCAGATGCTTTCTTTAAAATTGGGGCAAATAATTGTACATTTTATTATAAAAATTTAAATACATACATTTTCTGGACAAACACTGTAAATGAACATATTTCTATTTGTAAAACTGCAGACTTTTCATGTACACAATATGAACAGTTTGGCCTTTTCTTTGACAGTCAACATGTAAATTCATACTTTTGTCTGTGATTTTACTAATTATTATTTGCAACTGAACAAAACAAGGAAAATCTGTAAAAAAAAAAAAAATAAATAAAAAAAACCCAACTAACTCAGCTGTGATAAACGGTCACATCACAATAACTCAGTGACTACTCGGCTAAACTGGGCTGCAAGGTGGCTCAGTGGTTAGCACTGTTGCCTCGCAGCAAGAAGGTCACCTGTTCACGTCCTGGTGAGGACACCCGGGATCTTTCTGCGTGGAGTTTGCATGTTCTCCCCGTGCAGCGTAGGTTCTCTCTGGGTTCTCCAGGTTCCTCCCACACAGTCCAAAAACATGTTGAGGTTAATTGGTGATTCTAAATTGTCCGTAGGTGTGAATGTGAGTGTGCTTGGTTGTCTGTCTCTAAGTGTAGCCCTGTGATAGACTGGTGACCTGTCCAGGGTGTCCCCTGCCTTCACCCTGAGTCAGCTGGGATAGACTCCAGCCCCCCGTGACCCTAATGAGGATTAAGCGGTGTATAGATGATGGATGGATGGATGGACTCGGCTAAACTGCAGGTTGTGTTAAACTGCTGTGTTTTTGTAAGTAAAAGAGTGAACACACGTCGTCTTAAAGCTTTTTTATTACATCACAAATCCATTTACATTTATGTACAGAGTCTTCTTCAGGTTCTCACACTCACAGTTCAAAGAAAATCACTAAAATTGTTTCTACATGAGTAAAAATTGTACATTTTTTGCAATAACGGTGTGATTTCTCAACTCAAATCTCAATTTGAAGTCCCAGTAAACTTGCTTTCACACAGGTAAAGGCGTGGTGACGCTGGTTCTGGTCCGTTCCACCCAGTCCTCGGTTCTTTTCCCCATGGTGAGGATCCCTGCCGCCTGGTTCCTGGAGACCTGCAGCAGCTGGTGGAGGCGGTTCTGCAGCCGGTGCTCGTCCTCGGCCCGTTTGCCCAGAGTCAGGATCCCGGCCGAGGCGTCTCCGCTCAGGGTTCCACCGAGGCCTTTGGTTCCGGAGCGACACAGCAGAACGTAGAGGCGACACGAGCGACTGGGCTGCCTGCAGCACTCGGACACGCTGTGAGCGTCGCAGGTCAGCTGGGACAGCAGCAGCATCAGCACCAGAACCAGGACTTTCTGCTCAGGGACGGATTAGATTCAGAATATGACCTTCTTTTTGCAATTTTACTAGATATCATCTGTAATTTAACAAAACTGGGAAAATCTGTAACAGTTTACAGAATTTATTGGCATTTTTCAGCCGTAGATGTCTGAAAAATGTAAAAAAAAATAAAATAAAATAAAATAAAAAAAAGTCCAGTAAAGATTGTAAAAGAACAAATTACTATTTGTAAAAACAGAGATAATTGGTAAAAGTTTAAGTCTTTTTTTTTTTTAGCAGTCTACAAGTAAATTAATACTTCACTACTGCTTCAATATTTTGAATATTATTTTTTAATATGTTCAATTTTGATGTTCAACTGTACTGTACTAAATTGTAAATAAATAAATAAATAAAATTTAATCAGGCAGCAAAGGTGCCAGAAAAAAAGGGTTTAAAAGAAATGCTAAAAAAAAAAGTAATATTCAAAAACTGCAAAAGAAAAAATTGTGACAATATTGGCAAATATCTGTAAAATAATTATATATTTAAGCTCATTTAAATATATTTTATGGATAAACATTGCGAAAGAATTAAATGCTGTTTGTAAAAATATACATTTCTGATTTAACTAATTAAGATTGAATTAAAAGTAAAATACCACCTTTTTACTATGATTTACAAAAACTCAGTTAACATGTAAATTGTTGTTTTTTTTTTTTTTGAAATATAATTTTTCTAGATGTTATCTGCAATTGAACAGAATTGGGAAAATCTGAAAAATTACAATTAAAAAATTATTCATTGTATTTAAATTCTTTAGAAAAATGATTTTTCTTTCAATTATTGGCAAATTTCTAATAAAAAATAATAAAAAAATGCTAATTTGAAGACAGTAAAAGTTGTGAAATTAAAAAAAAATGTAAATCAAAAATAAATTAACATTATTTTTCTGTGAGCGTTTACTAGTTATCACATATTTCAAAGACCTCAAAACATTTCTGTTGAAATACAGATGTTTATATGTGGAGAATTCTGCCCTGCATTTTCTCTTTTCTTTCTTTTCTTACAGTTTACATGTAAATGAATACTGTTTTTCCATCAGTTTATGAGATATTATCTCTAATTCAACAAAAAGTTTTCCTTAAAACAATGACAAACACATCATATACAATATGATGAACAGAGAGTTCAGGTAGAAGCTGTTAAAAATGTTTGTTTTTTACAGTGTATGTCAGAATCAAAGAAGTGAAGCAGCAAAGTGTTTTTCAGTCAATCTTGGTAAAGCTAAAAAAAAAACTATAAATGTCAAACAGAAGTAAAGTAAACGGGTCTCACCCTGTTGGACGTGTCCATCCCGGCAGCGTTCCGGATGTTGGAGCCGAACCACATCATCATCTTCTGGATCCTGGAAACTGGACTCATCTGATCTCCCCGATGGAACAACAGCCGTCTTTTATATCGCTCTGCGTCGTTCCACACCTTCCACCTCTGGACGTCATTCAGGCCCAACAACACAAACACGACACAAACCCGCTAATTCTCTTGTTGCATTTGCTCATTTGATGTTTGCTGTCAGGTCATTAATTAGCCTGCCGTTGCAGATCATCTCCAAGGCTTCTGTGCGGACTCCTGACCAAGCACAGGTATGTCTTTGTGGCCGCATTGCCCGCGCTTTATTAAGAAATACCGTTACCATGAGCGGGGAGAGACACAAGTCAATTAGCTAATGTGTCCGGCGAGTTTTTAAAAGATCACACGACGTATAACAAACCCTCTGTGATGGCCTTTCTCAGGTCTAATGACAAGCTGACAAAAGGCCATGCTAATGAGCTCCTGTGGGCTTTGTTCTCTCAGATGCCAAACTGACACATCAGGAACACTTTGTATGTTTTCTGTTTATCAGAGTATTACACGGCTGGAAAAAGATCCCAAAAACTTCCAAAAACGAAGGCCACGATGAACTGTGGCCACGTTATCTGCTTTAAAATCCTCGAAAACTCGCAAAATCGGGAGAAAACTTGAGGCTTTTTCTTACTATCTGTTGCCATCTTATGGGCAACAAGCAGCACTGCTCTATATAGACGTTCATAGTCATATAAATGGTAGTTCACTGAGAAATCTTCTAAGATCAGGAGGATTAATGGTGCAAAACAGGGCCTCAAAAGCATATATTTAAATATATTTAATAGGAAGGAATACAGACCTGTGCAATGTCACCTAAATGTCAAATGATTCAAACTTACAGTGATTGCATCACTTCCAGGTTGACCATTTACTATTTGCGGTGATGTAAAATTTAAAAAATAACAGTTTAAACGTACTATTTTAAAAATTCAGGCCCCACAGTAGGAACTCAATGCACCTAAAGTCAGTATACCTTTCATTACTCAGATCTAAATCCCCCTTTTTTTGTTATTACTATTTGTATATCCACCTTTGTGTCCGATGACAGACTCAGTCCTTCATGTCTGTGGAGATTCTCAGTCATCCAGGTCATGGTTAATCTCATGGATTAATCGTAGCAACTGGATTTGCTTGAGTTCCTTGAAGACCTCTCATCCAAGAGCAGTTCTGACTGACTAGTTGGGAGTTTCAGATACTTGAGTTTCAATTTCAGCTACAAACCTCAGCAACAAACCTCCAGCTGAAACCGAAACTCAGGTGTTAATGGCTCCTTAAGTATATAAGGATCTGGAACTCCCAACTAGTCAGTCAGAACTGATGAAGCCGGGACGATGCATTCACTGTGGTCAGGTTCACACTAAACATGCTGGACTCCATCTGAGCCCAATCTTCATCGAACCAAAGAACATCCTTCCAGTGTTCACCTGGCTTCTTTCTCTCTCGCAGTTTTGTACCCAACAACTAGCAAGAGGCTGATGTTCTAAAGTGTCCCTCACACTGCCTGAGCTCCACAGAAACTCTCGTTTCCATTGGTAACCTCTGATGAAATCAAAAGCAGCTGCCTTCTGTTTTTCACAGCTAGATTGTGAAAGTAGTTCACTCTGTGGAGTCATTTTGGGATGACGACCACTGCAGCTCTGATTATTCTTCATAT